AATATGAAGAAATATGCAATGTGCTGAGCTGAGAGAACACAGGAAATAGTGACCTCAGACAGTCTTATTAAGTCCTGATAAAAGTTGTATGAAACAAGCAAGAAGAAAATCTTTAACAATTAAATATGAGGGAAAAGAAATCAGCAAAGAAAGGAAAGTCATTTTGTATTGACTTCAAGAGAGTATTTGGCAGAGTCTGGCACAGCCTGTTTAAGCAACTATAACACAGGAACATGCCTGCCAACAACATTCAAATATTGCAACAAGATCTATATGAATAATCTGCACAAAGTGCTGCAAGACCGTTCAGATATATGGGATTGGTCCCCAGCCATATTTAGTGTCTGTCAGGCTACCTTATTTCTGCAAACTACTTCAATGTATTCTTGGAATGTATAATGACAAAAGCAACTAAAGAACTGGAAAACGTGGCACGGATATCGATGGAAGAGTCATCAACAGCCAAAGATTTGCTGATGACAATGCACTATTGGTTAAACAAGAATTCTATGGTCAAGGATTCTTCCCACTCAGCTCCCATTAACTCTGCGAGCCAAGCTCTAATGGTAGGGTAGTTCTAGCTGGACAAGCAGTGCCAGACATTGTTCGCAATGGCAAGCTGCGCGGTTTTAACTTTTAATTCCAGCAATAACCCAACACATTCTCTAGGCTCTCCAAGCTTTGGCTCTTGTCAACGTGTGCTTAATACGTTCCATAATGAGGGAAGGCTAGCGTATCCTTGTGAGGAGAGAGTGTACTCTTCTTTCCAGACAAAGGGAGATTTCCATGTATATTACAGTGCCTTGGGACGTCCTCCCGACGTGAAAGGCGCTCTATGAATGTAATTTTGTTGTTGTTTTTGTTGTCGTTGGATACTCTTAAGCACGATTTTGAAACAGTGTTAGAGGCTTAAACAAGATGCAGTCATGTAAAAAGGGCAGAAGAATACTAATCAATGAGCCATAACCTAAACCCCTTTTATTTGATTTTAAGCAGCAAAGCATAAAGTACCACCTGGACACTACGACTCACCTAGAAAGAGAATTTCAATTTAAATATCTTGGCGTATGAATTGACATATGATACCAACATCTTAATGGTTGTCAGGATGAAAACACTAATAGCAATCCAAACCTTTAGTCAGATATATAAACTGAAACAACAACAAATTACATTTGTATAGCACCTTTCACGTCAGGAGGACATCCCAACAACTTGGGACATCCCAAGGCACAAAGATACAACGACAACAACTTGCACTTATACAGCACCCTCCATGCAGGGTAGCATCTCACAGTGCTTAACAGTGACGGAGCCTGACTCGGAGCTGGGGTGGAGGGGGCGCGGTGACCATAAGCACAGTCGAAACAAAGGTTTTCAGGCGTGACTTGAAAAAGGGGGCAAGGCGGAGGGATTGAGGAGAGTGTTCCAGAGTGTTCGGAGCGTAGTGGCTCAAAGCGCAGTATTGGTCTGAACACTAAACGTTGCTATTTGAGTAACCTCATCCTATCTAACGCTTTGTATGGATGTAAGGTGTGTCAATGGACTAACATGAAAAAAGCTCCCACGTTTTGAGCTCTGACTGGTCGGTTGAATTGTTAATATTCATTGATTTGCTGAGGGATGCAACAGCAAAACTACACATTGGAGTGTAAAACTCAGAAAGCAGCAATGATTGACACTTGTTTTGATAACACGACAGACCTCAATTTTCTTGTGGTATTTACAATACTATTAATCTTTGCACTTAATATAACATTTTTCACATCTGGAGGGTGTCTCAAACCGGTTCACAGGATTTACTGTAAAGTTTAATGACTGTATTATATAGGCAAACGATCAGATAACAATATGTTGCATTGCATTACTTTAGCACAGAAACAGTTGTAAATTAAATAACTGTACACAAGTAACATTGTAGGGTATAAAAACAACGAATGACTGCAAGTACTGTACGAAAAAGTACGTGTTTGACAAAGCAAATTGGCTGTACACCACATTTTCAAATACTGATGGCAGAATACTGTAAATGGAGAACCCTGTGAATCCAGCCGGTCCAGTCACTTTCAAATCTCTTCATGCCCTGCGCCTCCCTACCTCTCCGATTTCAGCGCCTTGGGACGTCCTCCCGACGTGAAAGGCGCTCTATAAATGGAATCTTGTTGTTGTTGTTGATCTACTCATACCCCACTCCACTGCCCACTGCCTTCGCTTAGCTGGCTTGGGTCTTCTGCACATCCCTCGTCCCCTCCTCTCCACAAATGGTGCCCTGTCATTTCAGCCACTATGCTCCGACTCTCTGGAATGCTTTACCCTATTCCCTCTATCTTGCCCCTTCTTTACCCATCTTCAAATCCCACCAGAAGACTTTTCTCTTCGATCGTTCCTTCAGTCACCTCCCTTCTCTTTCCAGCTCGGCATCATATCACACTGCTGTTTAGCCTTCCGAGACAGTACTTGCATAAAGGGTGCTAAATAAGTACAAGTTGTTGTTGTTAAGAGCACCAGTCCCTTTGGTTAGGTGAATGGCTTTTTCCCAGAGCTGCATTAACCAGTGTATCAACTAATGTTTACCTTCAGCCAATCCCTCAATCCAAAACAAATGCTTTGACAGAAACAAAATTATGCTCATCACGTTGTGTTTAATGTTTTAACTGGGTTGTAAAATGATTTCTGGACATAAAACTGTTGGGGTTCAGTCTGTCTTAGTCTGCTTTACTGGAGGGAAGCATTGGATTGTTATGCCACCTCAAAGGTAATGACAGATAACACCATAAACCATCAAAACTGAACTTGACACTTTGGTAAACCATCTGACCCTGATATTGGCTTCGTTCCTATCAATCCTCCCTCATCTATACAGTGTTTAAAAATATATACTATGTATAGATTAAAAAAACTCGCATTTCTGCATCACATTGAAAGTTCCAAAGCGCCTTACAGTAATTACTGTTAAGTGTAGTGACTGTTTCTCGAGGCGAACACAACAGCCGTTTTGCACACATCACAGAATGATCAGTTGATCAGGAGAACTGTTGGCGAGAAGACCGGACAAAACTCCCATCTCTTTTGAAACAGTGTAGTGGGATCTTTAACGAAACCGGGAATGGACAGATCGGGACCTTTGGTCTAATGTTTCACCCAAAGGAGGGCACTGCACTGGGTGTGGTGTCTGCTCAGACTACCGGCGGAGTGGATTGAACTCCACAGCCTCCAGATGCAAAGGTGGGAACTGAGCCAAACTGACACGAAACAAACTTTACCTCCAAAGTCGTACCTCGGTTGCAGCCGCTGTCGTCGGTGATTATTTCCCCCTCCAAAAAAAAACAGTATGGAGAGTTTTACAGAGAACGGGAACTGACGCCAAATAATGCAAAGGGTTTTTTTTTTTTACTTAACCTCTCATCGCGTTCTTTCAGATAGTGAACTGCAAAGGAATCCCTCGTCCCCGAGACGTAAAAGGTCCATGATCCAGGGTGTGAGAAGCCCCCAGAGGGACACTGTCAGTACACACACAGTCTGGCAGGAAGAGGGGCAGTGACTGGGCTCAGCTGTGGGGCAGCCAGAGGGACATCGACAAGTTTTCAGAAACCAAAAGATTAATTGAAATCTTTTATTGAAGACATCGGATCGGTTGTTCCCATGTACAGAAATGAAGAACCCCGGAGTCTGCAGTCGGGGTGAAGACGGGATGACAGATGGATGGCGGGCAGCCCGGGGAGGTGTGAGTTAAACAACCCGCAAACCCCCAGAGTGGGAGTGCTGTGCTGTGCGGTGCGGTGCGGTGGGATCCCAGTCTCGCTGCTGGTTGACATCTGGGGCACACAGTGACTTCTCTTGAGGAGTTACCAGCGGTATCTCACACACCGTGTCTCACAGCCTGGACAGTGTGTCAGTAAATGTAGGCAGTACAGGTCTCTCTACACGTGAGACAGCTGTGTGTAAGGCGTGGACACCAGTCAGACCGGGGGCTGATTCGGTCGGTGTGTCTGCAGTGCCGGCGCTGACCTGCCCTCTGCGGGCTCCCAACCTCACCAATACACCAACACACTCAGCATAACGCTCACCAGTAAAGGGTCTGCGATCAAACGTGCACACAAGTGTTTATAAACTAAACCCCACAGCGTTATATGGCAACACTGGCCCAGGCTTCTGCCTTCACACCGGCAGTGTGGCAGGAGGCGGAGGGGGGAATGAATTGAAGGAATTGAAGGCATGTGTTCGCACTTCGCTTTACTCAGTAACTGCTGTGAGGATCAGGAGGTCCGGCAGCGGGTTGTCACTGCAGCATATTTCTCACACACCGAAACATTATTTTTATAACACGATGCGCTCCAAATAACGTTGCAACAGTGAATCTTTTTTTTTGCTAAATAGTTGGACATGCAACGCTACCAGGTCAAGGGAGAGGATTATTATTATTATTATTATTATTATTATTATTATCATCGATCTCTGCGTCGGGTGCTGTCAGACAGTCAGCAATAAACCCCAGGGCTACTTGGATTATTCAAATTATTACATTAATACAATTAATGTAATTGTATCTCACAGCCTGGACTATTGGATTATTCGATTATTAAAATTATTACGTTAATACAATGAATTATTCAATCACTATTCTGATCGCTGAGAATATCAAACAAAATAGCTTTATCTGTAATCTTTGGAATTCCAGGTAGTTACAATACGTGTTTATCTGTTGTTTTGATCCCCCGTAAAAAAAAATTCGCACACCAGTCAATTCACTTCACAGTGTATTCTGTGAAGAGCATTGAGACGTCTCGAAGACGTGATAAGACGCTATATCAAATGCAAAGGGGAAATGCAACCTATTCCAAATTGTACTAAATAATAACAAAATCATTGACACTGCTGCATGTTATACATGACATTTCGCTGCGCTGCCGTGTGTTAAAGTAACGAGACACATCATTGCTGCCTGCACTTTGATCAGTGTTCCTGGAGTTATTTCAGCGTTAGCCTCAAAGCGCTCTTACCAAGCACACGCAGGAGATGCAAGGGTTGTCTGTAATGAAGGGGATTTCTATCACCTCTCCTTCGGTTTCACAGCTCGCCACAGATCCTACAACACACAACGTGTGCGCATTTGCATTACAGAAAATACACAGCGTTAGAAATGTGTCCCTCCCCACCCTCCACACACACACACACACACACACACACACAGCAAGTCTGCACAATACCATTGCATTTAATCATAGAGCAATTGCTCTTTCTTACCTGTCAGAAGCGACGCAGAGACGGAAACTTGAGAAGCAACAAACACTGAAACCAAGCAGACGATTGAGCAACGATAGGAGTTTGCCAGATAGCTAATAGGGTGAAACACCATCATCATTGCCGATCGATGAACCAAAATCCCTTCCAAAAAAAATAATAGCAATGATCAAAGCTCCAGTGTGGATGTCAGCACTGCCAGTCCATCACCTCAATCAGGTATAGGCGATCCCGGGTCCCCAGACACACAGACACAGACAGACAGACAGACAGACAGACAGCTCACATTGCCCCAGATTAGCATCACAGAAACCAGCAGCAACCTGCCAGCCGCTCCACACAGCCACAGTCAGCCCAGTCTGCTCATCCCTACAGCCACATGCTGGTCACCCGGTCTCCTCAACGTGAAGCCACAGTGAGTTCCTCTCAGATGAATGTCAGAATGGGATTTCGAAACTCCGTGATGTGCTGCAGGTCTGGAGCCTAGAGACGGCTTCCCGGCTGATAGGCAGATCGCATTGTGTGCTTTTTTTTACTATAGCTTAAATCCATCAGTGCTCGGCTTCCAGTGGGAGTCAGCGCCCGACTGTCTGCGAGCCTTTCACTGCGAACCAGCAAAGCAAACTGAGCGACTCGCTTATTGCCGAGAGTGTGCCAAAGCAAAGAAACAGCAAACATTCACTGGATCCACCTACTGCCCATTACACCAGCTCCTTCACACACACACACACACACACAGCACTGGACACAGGTCTTCCGCTCAGCCTGCGGGCGTTTCACCAACTCCCCTCCACCTCACGTTGCTTATGTTGTAAATAGACTGTAACCCAAACTTGTCTACTCTTCATTACTACCTTTTACAGAAGCCCAAGGGTAGGAATCTTCGGTGGTCGACTTGACTGATTGGAAATTATATGTATTTACACATACCTTCGCCGTATCTTCGCAGGTCAAATGCAAGGATTATTATTAAGATTATTATCTACATCTGCCCCGGACTGCAGTGTTAATTGTGTCCACACAACTGTAGTCATACAGCAAGCAGTGTTTATTTAAGGTGGTCACACAGTGTTCATACAAGTTGGTCATGCAACACTGATTATATAAGGTGGGCATGTAACAGTGGACATACCCCATTGGTCATATAAGATGGTTAGATCACAGTGTTCATACAAGGTGGTCACACGAGCAACTCCTAGTTACAGAAACATCAACATATTTGACTTAAACTCCTCTGCCTCAGAAAGGCGAGCTGTGGGCTGTGTTGTCTGTTGAGGTGGGGTGGGGGTACAGATCAATGTGGTATTTTTACTGCAAGTACCTAGGGACACAGAAAGGCCATTTAGAGNAAAAAAATATTGTTGCAGATCCAATCTTTGCCTTCGTGTTCTCCGGAGAGTCAGCCTGGAAGCTATGCATCTGACTGCCTCTGCTTTTGGGGATCTCCACTACACTGCCATGCCCTGCAGACAGCTTGGGTTTGCTGGAACCCAGTGTGTACATTCCTGCACACATGAACTTCATCCAACAGCACAGCATTTTATCTCCAGCGATTTTGCACATTTCAGGGAAGGGGATGATAAACGGTAAGTTAAGTCTGGCACTAAAGAGATAAAACATCAGAGTGAAACTATCATCTCAAGATCCAATCGATCGCCAGCCAGTCTTTGGGAACGTTTTTACAAAGCGTCCTAAAACACTTGTAACGTGGCTGGGGTTTTTTTTTCCCCCCTTGAAGCAGCGATCGTGGTCAGGAACTTAATGAATCTGAAAAAACTAACACGAACAAATGGCCTCAGATGGTTTTAACAAGGTTCTTTTGTCAGCAGAGTGTTTTGGCGCCTGGCAGATCTGTTAGAAGTAATCTAACGTGCTATTCATGAATGAGAGGCCAGTGGAAACCACAGGCTGTGGGGCTGAGACACTGGCACCTGCTATCAGCACTGCAGCACAGCTCCCCACAACGTGAGACTTTCAGGTATAGCATTACACTGATCCCATCCAGTCCTAACCAAACCGCTGGACACACAGAGGGCGACTATAACGCCAATGCTTTTACACACCGCAGTTCAACTGGAGGGCAAAAGCATTTTTTTTGGTAATAAGAATAATATTTGCATTTGGCTTTACACCTAGTCACGGCGTCACAGGAAGCGTTTCACGGGATTTTATTAATGATAATCCTTATATTTGATATAGAGCCTTATGTCGTCGAGACGTCTCAAAGTGCTTCACAGGGTGTACTGTAAAGTGGAGTGACTGCGTATTTTGTGGATGTGTATAAGGAATGACTTTTATAGCATCTTATCAAGTCCAAACCTACTTTTTCAGTAGCCATAACTATTTTGGTGGGAAACGTGCCAGTCAATGCAAACATCAAGGTCCCAGAAATAGCCACTGGATGAATGCCCAGTTAATCTGAAGGATTGCTGGCTAGAACACCAGGAAAATCTATTTTCTCATTCCCAAAATTGCCTTCTGAAAAGATGAGGGTTTTGGTTTAACCTTTCATCCAAAGAACACCATTTCCAACAATGGAGCACTCATCCAATGTCTGCTTAACCTGAACCCATAACCTTCTGACCTAAAGGCGAGAGTGCTACCAACTGAGCCAAGCTGACACCCAGAACATATAGGCAGATTACTAATGGAAATCAACAAAAATGAAATGTAATGATGACCTTGTAATGGTTCACTGTTCATTCTGAATCAGAAGTTCTGTTCAATGCATGGAGAAGTATGCAATAGCAGGTTAATCAGCACTAAAATAGCAATACAGTCCCACCACACACATTGCTACTTAAGGAAAGTGCTGAAAAAAGATAATGCGATTTGTTCAAAAAAAACAATAGAATTTTTTTAAAAAGTTCTCCCAAGTATATAGTTTCTCATTCTCAGATTTTAAAAAAATTGTATGGTAAATGTTATTGACGGCGGGTGTCATGTTTCTATTCCAAAGGAAAAGAAGAATGTTTACAAAATAGTGTAAATAAATATTTTAAAGTTCTGTACATTTTGTTTAATAAAAATTGCATTGGAATTTGCAGCAGAAACTCAGTAGAAGTAGAATCCATGAGAGTGGGGTTCCCATAGTTCAGCCTGACATAGTCACTGGGAGGACTTCCATTTACAGCACTCACATTTTTCATCAAGGATGTCTGAGATTTCTGAGATATTAGCAGCAGATTTATCACTATAACCTTGCTAAAATATGAATAAAATATATTTTAAAATCCTACTGAAAAGTCAAAATCAATTACTCTGCTCTTTCCCTTCCTTAGTCGCTCTTCAATATTCTCTGTTTTATTTTATACTTCCTATCAATATTCTCGAATTCTGTTTTATACAATGTTTTATTTTTTATCTATTTGTTTGAGTTCCCACCTCCTTCCACTGAATTTCTGTCCATTTTAGATAGTTTAAAATCTATCTGATTGACTGAAAGCTGCTCATAAAAGTTATTTTCAGCCAGTTTGGAGTCAGATCATTGAACTCTGACCTGATTGAATGATTAATTAGAGTGAGTGGCCAAACTTTTGATGTGTTCTTCCAGCCAACTCAGACAGCACAAAGTATTTGATGAGATAACGCATCAGCGGGCCAGGTAAGTGGATCCACTGAAATGGGCTAATCACAATATAATCATATAGCAATCATCACATATATTGCATATTCTTAACACCAGTCATTTTAATCTAAACCTGTATGAAGTCACTACATTCTTGCTCTGGAAATAGTTTGTATCAATTTTTCTAGCCACAAAGAACAGAATTAGGAGCATCCTCTCTGGCAAAAATTCCAGTGCATCTTCCCAGAAAGTGAATGATTTGTGTACTACTGTTTGTGATCAATCTTACTGAGATGGTGGTGTGAGTATTCTTCATTATAAACTCTTTTGTGATATGAGCTTGGCTCAGCTGCTACTACTCTCGCCTCTGAGTCACAGGGTTGTGGGTTCAAGCCACTTTGTGATTTGAAACTCACAGTCTAGGCTGACACTCCAATGCAGTGTAAGGAAGGAGTACTGTATTGTCGGAGGTGCTGTCCATTGGACAAGACATTAAACTGACTTCCATGTGCCTGTTCAGCTGGATGTTAAAGATCCCATGGCACCCCCATTCAAAAAGGTATCCTAGCTGACAATCCCCCAGATAAAATTGATCATTCTCTTTATTGGCTATATTGTTGTATACAAATCGTCTGCCTTGTTTGCTTACAATTACAGCCACTGCACACTAGAGTAAAATTCTGAGAAGTGCTTTGAGATGTCTTGTCGAGGCAATGAGGCCATATATCAGCTACAAGGATTATTATACACAGTGGTGGTATTGAACCCGATTACACTATATCTTGGCAAAAATATTGGAAAACTAGTCGTTTTTCTTTTATTCATGAGGTGGACCAAAGATGTTAGCCTAATCCTATCTGCTTGTTCAGGTGGATGTTAAAGATTGCATGACACTATTCTACAAGCGAAGGGATTTTCTCTTCGGGTCCTGGCCAACAATTCTCCAAATTAATTGATTCTTGACTCCATGGCTGTTCATAAGTCTTTGCTTTGCATAGACTTTGGCTATCATGATTGCCTACAATTACATAGTTACCACGATTGACAGCAAATCCTTGTGAAGCGCTTTGGGACATTTTGATATTCTAGGCACTATCATCAAATGAAAGGATTGCTATTGTTATAAATCTACTTGCGTTCCAGATATGGTTTCATCTCTTTGAAAGATCTCTAAGAACAGATATAATGCTGGCTGCTTGTAAAATTAAACTTGCAGGATCTTTCCTTTGTTTCCTCCCTAATGGATAGATGTTCTTTCTATTCTCACAGTCTAGTATATGATGCACATTTTAGTACATCTATCAAAGGAGATGTTTGGTTGATCAATGGGATAACAGTTTCATTTGATGTTTCATGTAGAGGTTGATTATATGAGATTAGAAACAACAACAAAGAGAAAATACAATATGTAATATGATAATTATCACCGATGATGAGTATCACATCTCACAACGCATTCTCTCTTCTCCCAAAAATATTTGCTGCCATAATCCCCCAGTATGCAGGTAAAGGATAGAGTTAGTATTTTGTTTCCAACAGTGAATAAAGACTGTGCATTTCCAGAAGGTCCTGGATCCTATAAAAGTGATGGCTTATAACTACAATTGGGAATTCTCTGAGATTACCCGACTGTAGCCCCCTCCACCCCACCAGTGGAGACCTGTAGCTCAGTGGTTAGAGCACTTACCTCGCAAGTGAGAGACCTGGGTTCAATTCCCGGCAGGGCGAAATGTTGGGCAAGTTTCCTTACTCCACACATCTCCGTTTACTTAGTAGTAAGTAAGAACCCGATTGTTAGTCAATTGGTGGATCGCTTTTTCGGGGGTAATAATTCCTTCAAACTTTTTTAAAAAATAATAAATTGTGGGACACTGCTGTGCGGAATTGGCTACCACCTTTTTCACACAAGATATACAATAACAATAAAATTAGATTTGTATAGCACCTTTCACATTGCAAGGACATCCCAAGGTGTTGTGAAGTCAATTCACTTTACAGTATATTCTGTGAAGCGTTTTGAGAGCTTGAAGATGTCACCTCGAAGACAGGATAAGGCGCTTTATCAAATGCAAAGATTATTATTA